TAATATATAAAGAACTCTTACAACTCAACAACAAAACATCAAACAACCCAATCAAAAAATGGGCTGGAGACATGAACAGACATTTCTCCAAAGAAGATATACTGATGGCCAATAGGCACATGAAAAGATGCTCATCATCGCTGATCATCAGGGAAATGCAAATCAAAACTACACTAAGATATCACCTTACACCCGTTAGAATGATAAAAATATCTAAAACTAATAGCAACAAATGTTGGAGAGGTTGCAGAGAAAAAGGAACCCTCATACACTGCTGGTGGGAATGCAAACTGGTGCAGCCACTATGGAAAACAGTATGGAGATTCCTCAAAAAATTAAAAATAGAACTACCATACGATCCAGCCATCCCACTACTGGGTATTTATCCAAAGAGCTTGAAGTCAGCAATCCCAAAAGTCCTATGCACCCCAATGGTTATTGCAGCACTGTTTACAATAGCCAAGACATGGAAGCAACCTAAGTGTCCAGCAACAGACGAATGGATAAAGAAGATGTGGTACATATATACAATGGAATACTACTCAGCTGCAAAACAGAACAAAATCATTCCATTTGCAACAACATGGATGGACCTTGAGAGAATTATGTTAAGTGAAATAAGCCAGCGAGAGAAGGACAATCTGTGTATGACTCCACTCATATGAGGAATTTAAAATTATGGACTAAGAACAGTTTAGTGGATACCAGGGGAAAGGTGGGGTGGGGGGTGGGCACAAAGGGTGAAATGGTGTACCTACAACATGACTGACAAACATTAATGTACAACTGAAATTTCACAAGATTGTAACCTATCAATAACTCAATTAAAAAAAAAAAAAAAAAGTTGTCTCCCAAGTATTGGGATTTGGTTGAGCAGAGCCCCGTGGACTTTGGAAGTTTCCTTTGAGCTGAATGGGCCTTTGAGATGATTCCAGCTGTAGATTAGTCCTATTCAGACAGAACTTTAGAACTTGTCAGGAACCTACGGTGAGACAGTAACCGGTCTGCTTATTGTTGAGGAAAATACCAGAGTTTTGGCTCACTCAACAAGGTATTAATTTATTGAACAATTACCATGTGCCAGACCCAGCTCTCGGTTCTGAATAGAGCACTGAAAAAGACATTGTTCCTGCTACACAGAGCTTATATTCACAAGGGAGAAAGATACATTAACAAATAAAACAATTATAGAGATAAGTGCATTAAGGAAATAAATAGGGTGCCATGATAAAGCATAACATTGGAAGGTACAGGCCTTTCAGAGGAGGCAGCATTTATTTGAGACCTGAAGGATGACCCCAGGCCGCAGCCAGCGTAGAACTAGGGAATGGACACTCAGGGAGCAGCAAGGCAAAGTCCCTGAGAGGAGAAAAAGCTCAGAATGTGCTCTGAGGTCACAGAGGTAAAGAAGCCGACTGGAGCGGAGGCGTAAGGAGCAGGGGAATGTGGCATCAGAGAAGTCAGAAAAGATAGGCAAGGGGTAGATTACCAACGCTGGTAAGAAGTTTGGATGTCATTCCAAGTGCAGTGGGAAGTCATTGAGGGGCTTTTAAGCAAGGGACTGTTTAATGTTTTAGAAAACCGCTCTGTGGAAAGCAGATTTCAGAAGGGTAAGAGTAGGAGCAAGGAGGCCAGTTAAGAAGCTTTTGCAATAGTTCAGATGAAAGAGGGTGTGGACAGGGCTGGTGTCAGTGAAGGTGGAGAGATCAAGATGAGTAGATTCAAGATGGCTTTTAGACATAACAGGGTTTGTTAACAGTATGGAAGGCAAGGGGCAGGAAGAAATCAAGGATGCCTTCAAGGAAGTTTGAGAAGCTAAATGGTGGTGCTATTTACTGAAACTGGGAAGATGAGGACAAGAATGGCTTTGTAGAAGGGCTACTCAGGATTTAGTTTTAGAAATTGAAATACCTGTGAGACCTCCAAGAGGTGGTGTCAAGTAGATATTGAAGGTCAGTGTGGAGCTCAGAGCAGAGGTCTGGGCTGAGGAGAGAAATTTAGGAGTTATCAGCACATGGATTGTATGTATTTAAAACCATGTACCCCTACAGAGAGAGTAAATGAAGAAGACAGTCCTGAGTTTGGATGGGAAAGAAAACACCAGCAAATGAAATGGAAATAGAGTGTCCAGGGAGATAGGAGAGAAACCAAGAGAGCATAAAATCTCAGCAGCCGAGAGAGGAAGATATTTCAAGAAGGCAGGATTAGTTGGTATGTCACATGCTGCTGAGGTGAAGACAGAAGGTATCCTGTGTTGGATTTGGATTTGGTGACTTTGACGAGGCATTTTCAGAGAGCTGGGCATAGAAGCCAACCTGAAGTGGGTTTAGGAGTAAATGGGAGGTGAGATGGTGGAGACAATATGTGCAAGAAACAAACTAACTAACAAACAAAACTTGTTCAAGAGGATTTGCTGAAAAGAAAATCAGAGAAACCATAGCTGAATAACTGATGAGGAGAGAATTGGGTTCAAGGGAGTAGGTGTTTGGTTTTCAGTTTGTTTTTTTAATGAGAAATCCTATTGCATATGTATATATCAGAAGTAATGCTGAGTGCCAGCCCTGATGGGCCTAGTGCTTAAAGTTTGGCATGCTCTGCTTGGGTGGCCTGGGCATAGAACCACACCACTCATCTGTCAGTAGCCATGCTGTAGCAGCCACTCACATAGAAGAACTAGAAGGACTTACAACTATACACAGCTATGTACTGGGACTCTCAGGGAGGGGGGTGGGGGAAGGAGGAAGATCAGCAACAGATGTTAGCTTAGGGCGAATCTTCCCCTGCAAAAAGAAAAAGAAGTAATGCTGAGAAAGAGAGATTAATGACTGATGTGGGAGAGAAGAGTAGAAGAGAGAACTTAAGGCAAGAGAGGTGGAGATTTAAAAAAAGATTTAAAATCTGGGTCCTCAAGGGCTTTCCATTCTGGTCTTAAAGATAAGATTAATTCAAAAAAGACTATAGTCATGTGCTAAATTCTGTGGTATTCATTGTGTATATTCTAATAATTCAGAGGAGCCACCAGTGGTGGCTAGCTTATGGATATGAGTTTCTAGGAGGAGAAGGTGGTAACAATTAAGTGAGACCTTGAAGCTTGAGCAGAGGTTGAAGAAGGGACAGTAACACTGATAAAGAGAATGTACAGGAGCCAGCAGAGTAGACAGGGTCTTGTATGCAGAAAGCTCCTCTGATTAAAGGAGAGCTTTCTCATGGAATGAGTAGTAGAAAATGTGGGTCATGTCAACGAAAACCAGATGAGGGCTCTTGAATACCAAGCAGGGGAGATGAGATGATCCAGCAGGAGCTGGCTATACACTTGAGCAAGCAACAGGAATGATGAAAACCATGTTATAGCAGGCTAAAGTCATAGCCACATTGTAGGTGACTGGACAAGGAGGGCTTGCGGTGTTAAGTCAGGATGCTCTCCTGTAACCAGGGCCTGAAGTTCCTCAGGCGAGGGTGGCAGCAGTGGAAATGGAGAGGAAATGCCAGATATGAGGGATGTTTGGAGGGAAGAACTGATAGGATCTAGTTGTCAGTTTGGATATAAAGGGTAAAGAAAACAGAAGCAGAAGATGACTTCAGGGTTCCTAGACCAAGAATCTGGTGATGTCAGTAGTGGTGGGGACTTCTTGAGATGCGGGTAAGCACAAATTGTCCCAAAGGTGCTACAGGATTTCATAAAAAATGTTTAGAAGTCCACGCTAGAGTAATTTCTGGACCGAAAGTCACCTTTTCCCTGACTGTTGGCATGGGTGGCAGTTGGAGCCGAGGGTGGGTGAGCTCTTTCCCTTTTCTGAGGGAAGGAGTGGAGAGCAAGGCAAGCAGCGGCCGGCAGCCTCCTCAGACCTCAAGAGGAGGAGCTCCTCCTCGAGCTCTGGGGAGACCGCCATTCCCCCATTCAGCCGTGGAGGAATGACAGAGACGACCTCCAAGGGTCTCCTTTTCTTGGCGTGGAATTTATGTATACTATTTTATTATGTTAATATGCTTTTGCTGAGGAATCTTGGAAAATGAATTTATTTATTCAGCTCATCAAAACATCCCGGTTTGTCAGATTACTTTTTAGTTTAAAAACCTGCCCAGGAAAATAAAAATCCAGCAGTTTGTCTTCTCATTGTGTTGTGTTCTGTCTTAGTATAAATATTGTAATCGAAATTGGAGAATAGAGAATTTGAGCTTTACCTTGTAGGGTGTAAAACGTGATTATTTCTTATCTTCATCTCCCTGTTTGTCTTGGGATTTTGCCTCCTTCTCCTCAAGGGCCTCTTAGTGCCCTCCACAAACCGCTTGCTTCCTTAGGGGTTATGGCTCCTAATCTGAGAGGGCTCTCGGGGTCGGAGAAGGTCCAGGATGGGGACGGCCCCCCACAGACTCTCTGCCTACCAGCACTGTCTGCTGCGGCAAATCCTCAGCAATCAGGAAGGATTCAGAGTCATGTTTGTGGAAGGAAGAGATTATTACAGTACCTGCAGGACGAGGAAGGAAAAAGCCCAGGGTTCTGGCTCTTGCCCTTGAGCTGTAAATTCTCAAGGACTCTCTTATAAATCTCCTGGAATCGCTGTTGGAAATCCACATTCCATTGGAGAGCAGTGTAGGGTTATCAGACGATCGTTTCCGAGGCCCTCCCCCCAACCCAGCTCTGACACTTTGAAAAAACTTCAGAATAAAACTGCAGAGTAAATCTCCATTTTAACAGTGTTGTTTTTCTTATTTGGCAGAAAAGAAATTAGATTTCCCCAGCTAGTAAATCCAAAATTTCTCCTCTTTCCTGCTTGTGCAGAAGCGCACACAAACACACACACAGATACACACACAAATGCCCCAATGCCTTGGGACTGTAATTCTCTTCAGTGGACAGCAGTACCAGCCATGTACTTCAGGACCAACCATACAAACAGCAAGTAGAGTTAGATATTGCTTGCCTGGACACTGTTTTACCTTAAAAAGACCATGTTGCCTAAAAGAATTTCTAGAGAGTTGCCTTTTTTCTTTCCTTTTAGAGGGCCAGTTGAGAGTGGATGCCAATATATCTGTGCATCATCCTGGAGAGCCTTTGGGCGTTCGAACTGAAGTGAAGAATCTCAACAGTGCCAGGTTCTTGGCCAAAGCAATAGGTGAATATCAGCTGTTATTCCTGATGTACCTCTTTGTATCAGTTATCTTTTGCTATGTAACAAGCCACCCCAAACCTTAGTGGCTTATATAATAACCATTTCAGTTTTCACAGTTCTTTGGATTGGGTGGTTTTTCTGCTGGTCCTGCCTCAGCTCACTCATGTAGCTGTGGGAAGCTGGCAGCTCAGCTGAAACAGAGGATCTAAGATGACCTCACTCACATGTAGGGGCATTGGTACTACGGGTCTGCTAGGTGTCTCTGTCCGCCTTGTTTTCTTCATTTGCTTGCCTAGCCTGGGCCTTCTTTCGCAGTGGGGCATTCCAGGAGGATGAAGGCAGAAGCCTCAAGGCCTCTTGAGTCCAAAGCTCTAGAACTCACACAGTGTCTCTTCCAGGATAGTCGGTCAAAGCAGATTGAATTCAAAGCAGACTCGAGGGAAGGGGAAATAGACTCCACCTCTTTGTTGGAGGATCTGCAAAATACTGTAGCTCTGTTTTTCCACCTACCGCATTCTTTCTGATGAGCCTGAACTTTATAATGTCATATTTTCTCATTATAGATTGGCCACAATTTGACCTAATTGGTCAATATGTTTTTCTGCTCTTTACTGTTTTTGCTAATAGATTGTATGCGACTATGTAATCAAGTATTGGTCTTGTTGGAGTACATGCTGTGGGTATTTCAGTGTTAACAAATATATAATAATAATTAAAATAGAACAGTTGAGCGAGATGAACATCTGGGGCAGTCCTTCAGGAATTGCTGACTGTGAATCTGAGGGGAAGACATCTCAGAGAATAAAAATATTCTTTAAAACCAGAGGGCTCTAGAGAGGAAGAGAGGAGGTAGAATTTAAAGTCACCCCTTTGAGGTGCACAGACCACAAGACAACTGAATGTGTTGCTACAGCCAAAATGTTGAGTAGAGTCCTGGATCTTGTCAAGAAAAGTATTAGAAACAATACAGAAAAGATTTTCTAGTCTGGTATAAAACCGTATTATCTGAACCTGAAATGATCTACCAGGGTCAGTGAAGACATTCTGAGTCTACAAATTTTTAGGACAAAGGCATTAAAATGGTCAAAGGGATAATATGTGGGAGGGGAAGGGTTAGGGGATGGTCCCTTATGAAGACATGCTGCTGTCTCCAAAAGGAGACGCAGTCCGTGCTTCTGAAGCCATGGAAGGTTGGGTCAGGGAAAACCCTTCCAGTCCAAGTTCGTGAAGGGGAAGCCTGAACGAATGGAAGAAAGTTCCACTTCACTAGTAGATATTCAGTGTTCTGGGACTCAATATTCTAAGAGGTGGTGACGTTAACCTCAAAAAACAGACAAGCAACAAGATTTTAGGTAGATTCATCCATGATGAGTTATGAAGGAGACTCCTGCCTATTTTTGGCTGTCCCTAACCTTCAGTTGTCCTATGAAGTACCCTTTGGAGCAATAGTCTGAGATAGAATTCTACCTGTGGTCTGACTCAGACTGGAAGAACCAAAGCTTTACTATTATGGGCTTAATTCTCCAAGCCTATAATTCCCACCCCCCACCCCCCATTTCTCTCCCTACACCAGGCCTTTTAGCCATCACCTCATGTCAGTTGAAGAAAGCATTGGAGAGGGGGAGATGAGGAGCAAAAACTAAGATGTTTTGGTGTTGCTGCTTCTTATGAGCTCAGATGAAAGACTTTGGATTTGGGCAAGGGAAGGTGGTTCGTGATGGGGGTGCGGAATTACGAGGGAGGCTAAAGCTGTTTTCATAAAGGAGCTTAGCAGTTGTGGCGATGTTTTGATTACCACAGTCTGCCTTGTTTGAGGGTGAGAGAACATGGCATAGAGCTGTGGCTCCTAATCATTTGGGGTCAGAGATCCCTTTGAAACTACAATGGAAATTCTGGACTCTCTCTCTCCAAAAATGTACATATGCACACACTCACATTTTGTATATAATTTCAGGAGGTCCCAGAACCCCCTGAAGCCCATCCACGGATCCCAAGATAAGAACTCTTGATAGGCGGGCAACAGTCCTAGATGTGGAGTCACGAAGCCTCGGTGTGGGTCCCAGCCCTTCTTCTGCCAAGTTGTATAATCTGTACTGGGTTGCTTGAGCTGTCTGAACCTGAGTTTTCTCAAAAAGTGAGAGAGCGGAGCTTCCTAAAAGGCCTTTTCTAGCACCATTGTTCTGTGAGTGAGAAGAAAGCAAGCACATAAGGGAAGAATTATTATAAACAGCTCTCTCAATTATTTCTTGACTTAAAGATTGAAAAAGATTTCTAATTATTGCTTGACTAGATGAAAAGAATCAAAATATGGTACTAAATTGCTTTGTTTTTCTTAGACTATGAAATTCAGAGACAAATCAATGAACTTGAGAATGGAGGTGAAATTCTAAATGAAACTCGCTCATTTGATTCCAAGCTGGGGTGAGTTTGCACTGATGGGCATCTTGAATACAGCTGGGTGCTACAGGCCAGCCGTGTACCCTTGAAGAAGGTATTTAGCTTCTCTGCACTTTGGTTTCCTTATTAGGAAAATTAGGAAAATACTGTACCCCACAGGGATATAATATACCCTCGTAAGAGGGCTGGTAAGAGTTTTAAGCTGGACCAGACTCGTACATAAGCGCTTAGTCTTAGCTACTGGCCTTCCCTTGCTTTCAGCTTACCTGCTTTTTGGCAAGAATTTTTACTTCCTCACATTCTGTCATACTTAAGCTCTACCAGTTTAAGCTAGAGGTAGAGGAAAGCTTAGAGCTGGTTGTAGATGTGCCTTTTTCTGTTTAGATAACTGTGACTCTGGTTCTCTAACTCTCAATTTTGAGGATTTTATACTTTTAGCAGAAGACTGAAAAAAGCTCAAAAGTATAGAGTTTGAGCTGGTTAAAAGCTGGAAGGGTTGAAGCATTTTCTTTTCTCCCTTTTTCTTTTTTTCATTATCTTTCTAAATATTTCTCCTTTTTTAATGTTGTTTTTTAATATGGTTGTGTAAGTGTCTCCCAAGGAAGGCTGAAGAGCTTGAATTTACCCATGTCCTTTATTGTAGGGAAGCCCTCTCTGTGTAGACACACTAGCCAATGCTGCATGCAATGTTTAATGTTTTCTTATTTGTCCATCGTAGGTGCACCATACCGATGAGAGACAAAGAAGGAAAACAAGACTACAGGTGGTTACTCCTCTTGTCAAAATACCATTCTGTATTTGGGGTCAGGGACATATTTCAAATCTACTTACAGATCAACATAATGATCCTGGGTAGTTTTTAGGAACCACTTTTCGTTGTTGTTGCATGATGGAAAATCTAGACCTCCTATTTTATGTGTGTACTGAGAGATAGAAAGAATATTTTCTTGATTTGGTGGCCTCAGAATGCCTTATTTGATGGGATTCAACTATTGGAAGACATTTGTTCACTCATCACCTCTGTGTCAGACTTGTTATAATTGAGCTAAAAGGATAGCAATTGAGGATGGGGCTTAGGCTGTTCTTATTCTTATATTCAGTAACAAATTCAGTAAAATACTGATTGATGTTCCATGAAAAAAGAGATGTGTAAGTTAACAGCATTTCCCTTCAAACGTCAATTTATGCTATTTAATTGATAAATTAAACAAATTGGATTTAATATGAGACCCAGAAATAAAACAAATAGTAAGGATAGGCTTAAGATAAACTGTACCTTTTGTTTTTTCCCCATTGAGTTTAGCCGATTGCAAAGATTGAAGTTTTAAGCAACAGAGTTGTTGTTGAGGTTAGCCCACCTTTCCTTTGTGAAGTGCAGGAAGATGCAAGTGCAGCTATTGCTGTCAATGAGGAACAAATGTAGCATCATGATGCGGGAAGAAGCAGCACAGAAACCTTAGCGTGAACTTCAGTTCCAGGCCTCCTCTCCTGCGTCTGTCAAAGTCAAGATTATTTTAGTTGCTGTGAAATTCTAGATTCAATCTGTACTTCCCAGGACTTCTTTGTTCTTCAGTTTTGCCCCTACTCTGTTTTTATGCTTTCTTGCTAAGCATGGAGTTTGGCTTTTAGCTTAGTTGGTGGCATCAGCTCGACTCCTCAGGTTAATAGATGGTGGGATTCAGGAAGCCTCCCTTTGGTTTCCTCTTGCCTTCGCAAGTCGGCTGACGGGTAACACAGATCTTCCGTCAGGTGATGGGTTGTTCTCATTTCTAATCTCTTACCTTGGAGCCACCGTTTGTTCTGCATAACCTGCTTCTCCATTAGCCCTTTGACAAGTGTGGGCAGAGAGAAAATGTTAGTGCTAGAACAGAACAGAGGGAGAGACATCTTTGTTTCATAAAATTGTATGCAGTGGTATAGCTTCCACATTTTTTAAAATTAATTGACTTTATTTTTTTAGAGCAGTTTTAGGTTTACAACAAAAGTGAGTGGAAATTACAGAGAGTCCCCATAAACTCCTACCTCCTCCCACCCACCCAGCCCCACAAGTTTCCCCTAATACCGTCTTGCTTTAGTGTGGTCCATTTGTTACAATTGATAAACTGATACTGATACCTTATTATTAACTAAAGTCCATAGTTTATCTTAGGGTTCACTGTTTATGTTGTACGTTCTGTGGATTTTGACAAATGTCTAATGACACATATCCACCATTACAGTGTCGTACTGAATAGTTTCACTGCCCTAAAAGTCCCTTGTGCTCCACTTATTCCTCCCTGCCTCCCTCCTCACTAGCTTCTACATCTTATTTCAGCAAAATCCGTTCGTTTCTTCCACTTATCAAGAAGGAAAGTATTTATTTTTCTTTTGACTTTTGCTTATTACTCAAATACTATTAAAAATAGTGAAAATTTAAAAATGGGGGAAAGTCATCTTTCTCCCTAATAAGTAAGTGGTTCTCATTTGGTCTTCTTTTTTCGAGTTCATCATTACTAATACATGCTTTATCCACAATTACAAATCACAGTGTGGCATCCACCTTGCGTTGTGCCTTTTCCACTCATCACGAGTTCGTAAGCATGGAGAGTGGCAGATGTGGTGGCTTTGACCTGTAATTTACACTCGTGCAGAAACTAGTTCCTGGGAGCCAGGAAGAGTTGATAATACAGGACATTAGAAAATATTTGCAAGTAACATGGCATCTAAACACAGAAACTTTCATATTACTGATAGATTTTTTTTTTCTTGTTAAACCAAATGCTTCAGAGTCAGGCCCGGTCTCCTCTCTCTGCCTAGGTTTATGCCCGAACCCAACCTCCCTCCCCTGCTGCTCTACGACACTGAGTCTCTGCCCGCCGGCGCAGACCCGCAGCAAGTGATCGATATTGACCGGATTCGGGAGCAGCTGCCCGAGCTCCCCAGCGTGACCCGGGAAAAGCTTGTCCAACAGTATGGGATGCTGCCGGAACACAGCTTCACCTTACTGGTAAGTATTGATCAGAAGCTAAAATACACCCAGCTCGGCGGCTCGGGTAATGCTGTTCAGTGGGCCCTGAGTGGAGCGGGCAGATTGCTTCGGCTATATGATAGATGGTTCTGAGAAGAGCGAGGCCTGATGATCTTTGCTCATTACCCTTTATAGTAAATGCTCCTCATAAAACCAGAAGATGAAGCAGAATCTCGTGTCAGTCATTTTTTCTGTGTAGAAAGGAACAGCTGCTCACAGGAGCCGTGGAGGCTTCCTCAAGACAGTCCAAATGTTATGGATGAGTGTGTGCTCATATGTCTGTGGGACAGAAGAAAAATCGATGTATAGGCTTTCTAGATATCTGGCAGTATTGAACCGTGACAAGGTCTGACAGGAAGTTAGGTTCTCAAAAGCTAGACAGTTGTTTTACCAATTGCAGAAGAAAAGATTTATTCCACATGAAATGCTGAAAACTCTGACTAAAAGTATCGGTCCTTTGAGGCTTGAGGATGCATCTAAGGGGGCCGTTAGAGACTCTGACGCCACTGAGATCTGCTTAGGGATTTTCCAGCCTTTTCAAAGCTGCTTGGGGCTTTGCAGCTTTCTCTGTCATGGCAACATTAAAGCGAGACGGCCTCAGCGAGTGTAGCATTTTGTCACAGTTGTCTTCTACTTGTCTGTTAGGCAGGAGTGGAAAGTTCTGCTGTCACATCTTTCAGAGACCAGGCATATGCCATGCTCATCTTTTGGAGCAGCGGAATCTATGGAAACTCTGGATTTTTGCATTTTAAATGACCAATAATAAATATATAGGGGTGTCAGGATATACATATTTATGTGTATATTTATATTCTTCAATAATGGCAACTCAGCCATTTCTGGTACAAGGTAGGCAACCAAATGTTTGTTGAATGATTTTTCTCTTTATCATCTATAAATCAGCTAATTTGAGAAGTATCCAGAGTGTCTCACATGAAAACTCCTCTTTTACTACCAATAACGATTAGGCATGACCAGGTATTTTCCCATACTTTAGTCAGAGGAGATCACTATCTCCTGTGGGTGCTGTTGTCTCTTATTTAGGCCTCTGTGGTGAGTATATCGCTGTATTTTACTTACTCATTGGTGTATCTTGTCCAGCGCCTGGAAGGAAGGACTGTTTCATCCTCTCACTCTCTGTTACTCAGCACAGCTTCGCACATCAACAGTGCTTAATGCCGAATCTCTGTAGGAAGCAGTTAGTCAGCATCTCGTACAGAACACCTTTTAACCTGAAGCCTTTTACAACTCATGTATTTTTCCTAGATTGATTTAACCGAACTGAGTTTTAGTCTTTTACAGCTTTCCCACCATCTTGATCACTTGAATTTCCAGCCCACTTGAAATCAATTCCAGACTAAATACTAAATGCTAAATTCCAGTCCTGCATTTTATAACATATTTGCCAAATTATATAGGGGACACGAGGACAGGGACGGAGGCTACCCAGCCTCAAAGACGTCAGTTCCCTCTCTCCATTTGGCCTTCTACCAGGTGGACAAAGGCGACCCTTGGAGGTCGTGAATGATGAGCTCCCGTTTCTTGGCCATTTCTTTGCTCAAGACTGTGATTTGCAAGAAGAATCCAGTAAATATGTTAAGAATTCTTTTCATATATCAGGTTTCTGCATAAGAGAAGTGAAAGACCTTTCAGAATCTCCTCCCAAGAATATGGCTCTTTCTGTCCAAGGCACTGTCTGAAAACATACGCTCCCCTCAGAGAGCATCTCTGTAGGATTGTCACACTCGGCCTCTGACCAGCTTGTGATGGGGGACCGTCTGCCTCCCTTTGCTGAGAGGAGGCTCTCTGAGGGTAGAGACATTTTTACATTCGTGTTTGTGTCCCAGGCTCCATGCATGCGTCCTTCCACTGCCAGAACCCAGGAGGCCTTGAAGAAACGTCTGCTGAGACGTGGCAGAGGAGTGAGTTTGTGTTTTCAAGTTTAAGGCCCTCTTTAGGGAAACCTGCCTTTGATATATTCAGTTCAGCACTTTTATCAGCATCTCATATGTAGCAAGTACTGAGATAGGGACAAAGATTTAAAAAAAATTTTTTTTTAAAGAAGAGGTTTTCTTTGGTTTCCAGGAGTTTATATATACACACATATGACACTACAGCTAACCCAGCACCCGAGGCAGATTGCATTAGACAGATGTATGATGTAGGAGGGGAGCCCAGAGGAGGTGATGATTAACTTGATTGGGACAAAAGGAGAAAACTTCAAGGAGATGATTTTTGAGCCAGTTTTGAAGGGACTTATTTTTTGGTATCTTAAAAATATGCTTATTTTTTTGGCTTGCAGATAATGTAGTATTTTTGTTTAAGGGCTAGTACTTGAAATTTCCAAGATAAGTGAGAAGAGAACTTGATAAGAGTGGAAAAAAGAACGATTCAAATTGTTTTTCTGAAATTAGGCATCCCTGAGCTCTCTCTATGACTTTGTAATCATTGGAAGCTGAGATACTCATAACATACTCGAAAATGATATGTTCGTATTTTTCCCTGCCTTCATCAGAAACACAACAGATTGCTGAGAAGGGCAGATGCACAAATCTAATGAACCATCTTCCAATTTAAAGAGTGCCCAGGAGTATTCATTAAATAAATAGCAGCAGTGGAGGTGTGCTTTGCAGAGCTTCAGCTCCCTGCTCCCTGCCTTTGGATTGCTTATTAAATTAAGCATTAAGCACCTACCCGCCCCCACACACATGCCTTACCCACAAATAATAAAAAACTTCAGATTTTAACTCCAGTCTTTAATTTGTCTTGTCATTTTATTGTGTGGTAAGCACTGAATTATCTATTGTTAATTTATCCTTGATATTTACGGAACTCTAATATTATATTCTAACTCTATAATATTCTATCTTAGCATCTGGCACATAGTAGGCACAGTGAATATTTGTTCAGTGAATGGATGGACGCATGAGTGAGCTCGTAGGATACTATTCCAGTACTCGTGAGAGTCCTGGGGGAAGAAATTTTCTTGATGAAAGCATCCTGTTTCCAAAGGTCAGATACATAGCACTCCTGACAACCCAGCAAATCATAGACTGATCCCCGTGTCATTGATCTCTGGGCGAGAAGACCTGGATGGCCGCTGCAACCACGCCATATACCATGACCAGATGCGAGTCACTTGGTGTCTCTGACTCCTGTTTACCAAACTGGTTTCATTAGGACATTAAATCAAATCTGTATTCTGATTTTCTCTCTTAAACCATTCTGATAATACCCTCTCAGCAGAAAACCTGTATTACTCTTTTTTCCTCTGGCCACATAAAAAGTATCTTGCCCCACGTGGAACTTCAACCTGTTTAGCTAACCTTGCTTCCCTATCTTATGTCAAATTGCCTTGATTTCTGACCTCAGTTGTAAGGATTAAGGAATAGAAATATGGAAGCTGAGATGCAGGTATTAGGAGTCTGAAAAATTAGAGATTCTGATAGCATAGTGGGTCCTTCTCTGAGTCAGTATATCCTAGAGTAATTATTAGAATGATCAAGTTTGTATCATGTGCATATTTCCTAGCAAATAATCCCAGGGTGATGTCTGTGGGGCATCTCTTCCTAAACTCTGCCTTCCCTGACTCAGGGAATGCAAGTGAATTGTAGTCTCTTTCCTGAGCAGCTCATGACAGAGGCTGCTCACTAACAGCATGCTCTGCGGGTTGGAGTTCGGGGGACCCTTTTTAATCTGTCGTCACAGGAGCCCTCTGAGGTAGGTATTGTTGCTCTCCCCATCTTGCAGGTGAGCAAACAACCTCTGTGGTTGAGTCTAAGACTTTAATTAACTGCGCTGAGCCTGTGGGTGAGCCAGGTTTAAACCAGGCCGACGTCAGGGCCCGTGCTCTTCATTTCTAATCTCTGCTGCCCGCCTGCATGGATCGTGTGCCGCAGTGCCAAATAGGAGCAACGTTTCAAGTTCGTTGCTGCTTTGGGTCACTTAATAGAGAGAATGTGATTTGTAATTTTGTTAATATTAGTGCTTTGTATAGTCCCACTAATGCTTCGTGAAGCACAGTCCTCTGTCTAGTTCGTTTAAGACTTTGACCATCCCTCTTGGTTTTTAAGATGCCAGACTGCTCTTTAAATAAACACCAAGTGCTGTCTACTAAATTTGGTGAAAATCAGTCAACTTCAATGAAAAGCAGAAATTATGTTCATTTTCCAAGTAGGAGATTTAAGTCAGAGAAATGTAAGCTCCCCTCTGTAGCTTTATTTATTTTGTTTCTTAAACTTTCTGCCCTAGGTAGTTGGCTCCTTGTGACTGAATCATTGAGAAGTCTCTTCATAGGGCAGGGGGTGTGGGTTCGTGGGTTTTGTGGGATGATTTTGCCTGGTGCCTCCTGTCAGGCACTCGGCACATGGTAGGCACTAGGTAAGGAACGCATGTGAGTTCACAGGGTGACTCTGAATAGACAGAAAGATTTCAATTGCATCTGTCCTGGGAGATTTCAGTGGAGGAATGGTATAGCATTCCCCAGTTTAGTATTTCTTTAGGGCCTGCCATACTCTCCACAAGGCCCTGTGCTGGTGTCAAATGGGAGAACGTTATCTTTTCCACATTGCTTTTAACTCTCATGAGTAGCCCTATGGGCTGATGGGTTAAAACACTGAGTAAGAGACACACTCTTGATTCCAGATCTCACCTCTGACTCTTAGGAACTGGGAGCGCTCTGCAAAGGTTACTGGCACTGTTACCCTCCCCAGATGAAAGAGGAGGGTAATGACCCATTTACCCCAAAGATGATAGACACAGCAGGATCTTCACTGAATCTAGAAAAATCTCAATACAGGCAAGCAGACTCCCAAGATTATGCTGCCAGGGAGAACAGTGGCACCAAAGAGCTGTTGACACATCAAGAGCCACAGCAGGCAGAATTTTAAGAAAAATCCAGCACGGCCACACTGAGACTGTAGGAAAACATGATTGTGACCCTCCATATCAGTGACCTTTGCTGCCGTATGTGTCTGTCT